ATCTCCCAGATGGTGAAAGGCAGATCTATCTTCAAACCCAAGCAGGCTGAATGAGTGTTTGCTCTGTGGGTTTTGTTTTGGTTTTGGTGTTGCTAAATGGGGAGGGGGATGGGCACAAGCCGCCGGGCCTATGCTGATCCCGGCTAGGCTTTGGATGGGGTGGGGCTGAGCCCGGCTCACTGAGTGGTGCAAGGCCTCTGCTTCCTTGCCCTTCTGGACTTGAGCCAGGCTGGGCCCTTTCTCCTCAGCAGCTCATTTCCCGTAAACGATGACTCCTGACTGCAGGCTTGCAGATCTGTGCCAAGAACCTCCTAGCTGCTCCTCCCAAGGCCAGCACAGCCCTGCGCCTGTTGGCTGGGCTTGGGACCTGGGCAGTCCTGTCCTGGCTGCCCACCCCAGACGTCCTGTGGTGGAGGATGGGTCCTGTCACAACAGCTGCTTTGGGCTCCTGTTCTCCTGCCTTCATTGTCCTGGACAGGCAGAGCCTGGTGACTTTGAGGAGTGAGGGGGATGTGGCAGGGAGCATGTGGGCCTGGCCAGGAGGTGACTTGTGTGTGTCTGTGTGTGCACATGCTCGTCTGAGACACTTGGATTCAGACCAGACCCCTCGGGGCGGGGAAATCCAGGCCCTCTTTGCCCCAAGCTGTAACAGCCTCCTCTGTAGCCTGGGCAGATGCTGGCACATTTCCTGGGGTTGTTCATTTCCTCAACCACACACTTGTCCAGCATGCATGGTGTGCCTGGCACTGGGCTTGGTGGCAGAAGAGGCACCTGCTCTTGTAGCAATCATTCTCTGAGGGAGGCATGGGGTGGAGAAAGCTCACCAAACCAATTAGCAGGAGAATTAGAGGTCATGGAAAATGCCTTAGTCTAGATCCCAGAACCTACAAGGGAACTGTAGTGTTTAGGTGGGGCATGAGATGAGGGCTGGAGAAGGCCCCTTGAAGAGGAGCTTGCATTTTCAGCCCTGAGAGAATTAAGGGGAGATGAGCATTCTGGCACATGCAAAGGCCTTGAGGTCGGAAGGGGTTTGGGAGTTTCTGCACATCTCAGCCTGGCCAGTGTTGCCAGAGCACGATGAGAGTCAGGGGGTGAGGCAGGAAAGGTCATAGGGTCCCCACTAGGCAGGGCCTGTGAGGCATAGGATGCAGGTCACCTTTCTAGTGGGGACAACCCAACATGGACCTCCAGCTGCTGCCACAGGCCAGCCTTAGACTCCTTCCAGCATGAGACCTGTGGAGGGACCTGCCAAGCCCTGGGTGTTCCAAGAGGAGGCCAGAGGTCCCAGAAGCAACCTGCCGTTGGGTGACAGCCACCACCCACTCTCCTAGCCACCTGCCGAGAAGGCACTGTTGACCTGGCTTTTCAGCCCCTTGTCCCAGCCCTTGAGCACGAGAGCTATCTTGGGACTGTTTGCCAACCTCTCCATAGCCTTGGCGAGAGGGTGGCTGCTCAGGAGGCCAGGCGGCTGCATCAGAGCTTAGCGGCCCCTTATGCCCCCAAGTCTGGAATGTCCCCTCTCAGGAGTGTGTCCTGCCACCTGCAGAACCCCACTCCCATTCCTCAGGCAAAGGGAACTGGAGCAGGGAGCAGGATTCCTGCACATATGGGCCCCAAAGGCTCGCCGTAATGCAGCTGGCAGCAAGGAAAGGCCATAGGGTGGGGACAGCTTACAGCCACCACAGGCACAGCATTGTTCAGTGCTCACTGCTATGCAAAGCACTGCGCTCAGCACCCTGCAGGGATCCAGTCTTAATCTTCAGGACCCCCTGCAAAGGAGAGGCTTGGACCACTGTACATCTCAGGTGGTGGAACGGACACAGGGCAGACAAGTGACTTGCACACCATGCTGGGCTCCAAGTCCCGAGGAAGTGCTTTGTCCTGCCTGGAGAAGGGCACGTGGCCTTGAGGGTGAAGCACCGAGGTGGGGGTGGGGCAGGCTACAGGGAACAGGAACGGGGACATTATATAGACGGTCTGAAGGAGTGGTGAGGGAGAAAACCAGCTGGCTGCAGACAGTTTCTTCCTCTAGCCTCCACTCAGGCCCAGCTCAGCTCTGGCTGCAAAGCGGAGAGGGAAGTGCTCAGTGGGAAGTGAAGATGGCTGGTGGGAAGGGTCTTATGTATCAAGGACCACCTGGTCCCTGCTCCAACCTCCTGTAGATAAGATCCAGCCTTCCTGTTCACCTGCTCCCCTGTCATGGGCCCAGAGTTGCAGCAACAGGCTAGGCCAAGTTGCCTGTCAGGAGTGGGGTGAGGTGGCATCTTCGGGATGCCAGACAGGTGGCATCTGTTTCAGACAGGTTTCCCACCTCAAGAATGTCACCTGAGAGCGCAGATCAAGGGACAGAGGTGTAAAGGACAAGGGCCCGGGGTCCTTCCATAAGCACAGTGTGAGAAGAGGATGGGGGAGAGGAACCACCTAGTTTAAGGCATTCATCGGTGCACTGATCCCATGGGATGTGTGGCTCATGTTAGGATGCCAGTTAAGCAAGCTGTGGGAATGAATATGTTTATGAGACAATCAGGATGACAATCTGATGAGGCGTTGACTCAGGTCTCACATACTAAGGCTTATCATTCATATTTTTAGGTGTGATGATAATATGGCTCTTAGAAATTAATATATGAAGCCTATAATGCCAGCCCTCTGGGAGACAGGGGCAGGAAGATCATAAGTTCGAGCCCAGCTTGGGCAACTTAGTGATTTAGCGTGATCTTGTCTCAAAATTAAAAAATAACCATGGGCTGGGGGTATAGCTCAATGAGAAGGCCCTGGGTTTAATCCCCAGTACTAGAAAAAAAATATCTGATTCACATTCCATCACATATATCTCTGCTGTAAAGACAGATACCACTTGGTGCAATGGCGGGTTGAACTTGAGGCTCATGTCCAGTGTGCTGGCCCATGGGGGTTGCCTGGACCACAGGCCCCTCTGCTGATGGCCATAAGTCCACCAGGACCATGTTTCCAAAGCCCCTTGAGGAGGCTGCTTCAGACGTATTTTCTCCAGTCCTTGCCTCCTCCCTACCAGGTGGTAGTTGGGGGTATGACCCCACTTTATAGATGTGGAGACTGAGGACAGAGAGAGGAGGTCCCCTGACCAAGGCCATCTTGCCACCTTTTCAGTCAGGCCTGCCAATGCCAGATGCTGCCCCCTAGGGTCATCCCAAGGCTGGTGATTACCTAACCCTGCAGCCCCCTCCCTTGCAGGCCCAGGGTTGCTCTGGGTCTGAGGCCAGAAGCCCAGCAGTGAGAATCAGAGATGGGGCAGTGCCTTGAAGCTTGCTTCCCAGGCCCTCGGGGCTGAGAGTAGCAGAATGGGTGGGAGAAGTCACTGTCCTACCTTCCTCAGGGCCCTTATGAAAAGCAGATCCCCCCGCTCAGCCCTGAGACTCCAAAGGCCCAGAGCGGGCTGTGCCAGCTGCCTGTGAGAGGTGACACTGTTGCAGGCAGCTCTGGACTCCTAACCCACCTCAGAGTCTCTGCACCCTCAGCCTCTGTGACCCCATATTTCTAGTGGTGGTTGGTACTGTGGCTGTTTCTGAGGAGCCCCAAGGCGATGGCTGAGAATGTCAGTTGGCCCCCCATGGGGCTTCCAAGGGGAGTTTCCCACCTCCTCACCCCAACTCAACGGACACAGCAGCTGGTGACTTTTAGGGGCAAAGGAAAAGCCCCTAAATGTTCTGCAACGGTGTCTCCCCTCCACCTGCCTTGCTCTGTGAACCTCCTCCCCTCCCTAGCCTCCCACCTTGCTGGGTCCCAGCAGGGACTCAAAGAACCTCCCCCTCTCAGCCTGGCACTTCTGTGCCTGGAGCCAGCTTTGGGTGGAGAGCCAAGGGTCCTTTGAGGAGACAGGCCTTGTGGGCCTAGATCTAACAACTCAAAGGGTGTTCCCTCTACTGACAGCTGTTAGACTCAGCTGGAAATGGGCGCACATGCCTGTAATCCCAGCATTCTGGGAGGCTGAGGCAGGAGGATGACATGTTGGAGTGACGTAGTGAGAGCCTGTCTCAAAACAAAGGCAATAAAAAGGACTGGAGATGTAGTTCGGTATGAAGGTCCTAGGTTCAATCCCCACTACCAAAACAACAAAAAAGCAACCAACCAACTAAACAAAAGGAACAGCAGACTCTCAGCCTCACTCAGGTGCCTGGGTCAGAACCTATGTTCTAATCCAGCCCCGGGCCACTAATTTCACATTAAGGGTGTGTAGGGGGTACAAAATTTAAAACCTGAGTTCTGGCTGCCCAGCACCCGGGATCTTTAGAAACCCTGGTATAGGTCCTGCTCTAACAGCTTCGTGATGCTGCATTCCCACAGAACCCACGGTGATCACAGCACAACTTGGGAAATACTTGTACAGGACATGGCTCCCAAGATGGCCATCTGCCCTCAGGAGGAAACCCTCTCTCTCCACAAACACCTGGCAGCTTCTGGGGTCGGCAGAGGAATTGGGTGCTTTTGCGGAGGGCACAAGAGTGGGGAACAGACAGTAACCGGGAGACAGAGGACAAAGGGGATTAGTTGCCAAGGCATCTTGATACCCGCTGCCCTCTGCCTCTCGTAAGGGGAGGCTGGGCGGGAGAGACCCTCGGAGGACGCATCTATCCTGGAAGTACCAGGGAAGCCCTTCACGGGTTAATAGCTATTTGCGCCCCACCGGCCTGGTACCCGATGCACACAGTTCTCCCCGCGGCTCCCAAGCTGATCCCAGGGCTCCGCCCCAGTTCTTTAGGATCCGGGGGCGGCCGGGCACCCGCTTTTCACTAGGGCCTGAGCCCTGCTCTTCCTCAGCCCTGGCTGGGGCCGCCCCACAAGGACAGCCATTCCTTCCCTGCGCCCGCGCTCATCCCACATTTCTGCAGCAACCACCACATCGCTGGGGCCGCTCTCCTCGGCGCCCCGGACCCGTCCCCTTGTCTCCGCGGCCGCGGCCGCTGCGCGCGGTCCCGGGGGCCCCCAGACCCGCCCCGCCCCGCCCCGTCCGCGACTGCGCCCTGGGCGCGCGCCCGCCCCGCCCGCACCTGCGCTGGGACCACGCGGGTGCAGGCTCCAGGCTGGGCCCAGCACCCGAGTCCTTAGGCGGTGGGCGCCGGGCGGGCTCGGGGAGGATGAAGCAGGTAGGGCTGGCGGGGAGGGCGACGCGAGCTGGGGAGGAGGAGCCCGCAGGGCTGGAGAGGCCGCGAGGAGGAAGGGATACGGGGCCCTGTGGCAGGAGGGCGGGCAAGGCCTTGCATCCCCGAGGGGACTCTGGGAACCCACGGAGATGTGCAGAGAACCCCCCTCGAGTGCAGGCTGGCAGGGGTGTGCAGGGCTGCGGGTGGGCCTGCCAACTGCCTCGTGTTCCTCCAGGCCCTGGTGGACGACACGGAGGACGTGTCCCTGGACTTCGGCAACGAAGAGGAGCTGGCCTTCAGGAAAGCCAAGATCAGGTCTGTCGGGACGCGGCTTTGGCGAGCAGTCCCTCAAGTCGCAAGTTCATTCATTTATTCACTCGTTTTTCAAGATGCACTGAGCACCTCCTGTATGCCTACTGATCAGACAGTCCCGCCCTGCTGGAGCCCGCCTCTAGGGGCCGGAAAGGGGACAGCAAACACTGAGCAGGCCAAGCTCTTCTTTGCAAGGTAGTGATGGAGCGTGAGAGTTAGGAAGAAAGTCAACAGGGTGGCGAAAGAGAAAGCCCTCTGAGGAGGTGACTTTTGAACTGAGACCTGACTGGTGAGCCATGAGAGGCTCTCCAGGAAGAGGGTTCCAAGCTGAGGGAACAGCAAGTGCAAAGGCCCTGAGGCTCTTTGGGAAGGTCAGAGAGAGGCCACTATGGCTACAGGGCAGTGTGGGAGGGCTGGACAGGTGGAAAAGGCCTTCAGTTTTTGTTCTAGTCTCAGCTTGGCCAGATGGACTTGTCCTAGGTCAGGTCACACACCTGCCTGAGACCTTCTGCATCCCACGCGGCAGTAAGAGCAAGAAAAATGGCTGAGGTGTGGCTTAGTGGCAGAATGCTTGCCCAGCATCCACAAGATCCTAGGTTCAATCCCCAGAATGGCAAATACAACAAGGGAAGAGGAAATGAGCCTGTGACCTGTGCCCATGGCTGCCAAATGCCTGAGCACCCGCCACATCCAGGAACTGTCACGACTCAAACACACCCACCTGGCTTTGCCCTTCTCTCCTTCCAGTTTTTGGCACCAGCAGGCATGGCCAGGACTGCAGGCTGGAGGATGGGCTGTAGAGACCGAAGGAAGCAGGGAGCATGGCTGGGAGGCTGGGCCAGGACTGCAGCAGGGGTGACAGGGAGCAGAGGCCCTGTCTGGGTGATGTCAGGATGTGGAGTGGGGACAGAGGTGGTCAAGGTGATGGTCTGGCTTCCGGCTCGGTGACTGAGGAGGTGAAGGGGCTCTTATGGGGCAAAGATACAAAGTGATCAAAAGATACGACGAACATTTAAATTTTAAAAAATGTATTACAGTAAAAGACACACTGCCATTAATCCTCCCCAAAATACTCCCCTTCACTTCCAACACACTCATCCCATCATTCTTGCCACTTTCTGAAGTGGCTCTGGGAAGCCCTCTTTCGTGAGTGTATTTACCAGGTGTGATCAATAATATGGTGAATGCGGCTGCCCAGGGCCATACAATGGAAGGGTGGGCTCGTAAAAACATTACAGTGTGTCCTTCTTCCCCTTATTCACTGGATCTGGCACTGTGCAACTTCTGAATCTTCCCCACAGTCAAAATGACCATGAAAGGTCAATGTCTTAAATCGATTCAGGATATCAAGGCAGCCATGACAGTGCAACTAAAGACATAAAAGAGGATAATGTATTTTTTACTGTAGTGATTTTTTAAAAACTTAAACATTGACTGTATATGTTTTCAATCAGACCTCGTTTTGAGCTCAGAGTGGTCTTTGCTGGGTTGCGGTGGGACACGCTGGTAGCCAGGTTAAGTGGGCAGCTGGAAGGAAAGGCCAGGAGCTCAAGGAGTCATCAGCCAGAGATCCGAAGGCAGGGACTCCTCTGTGTGTCTGAGAGCTGCTGCTCCCAGAATCTTCTGGTGTGCCGAGTGCTGATCCCTAAGTCCCACCCTGGACTCATGCAGCCAGATCCACAGGGGTTGCACCTGGGACTGTGAATTTAAAGTGGCACCCTTAGTTGATTCTGAGAATAAACAAACTTACCCGTATAGCAGGACTGAAAGGGAGTTCTTAACTGAGCTCTCTGGGCACCTGGGAACCCTTTGAAAACTTTTGTCTAAGTTTCATATTAATGTGCCATTTTAGGAAAAGAAGACAACTTTAACTGGATTATTAAGAGGGTTTATGATCCAAAAAAAGGTTCAGAATCACCAGTCTGGTGTGAGAATCACGATGCAAATTCTTCAGCAAGATGAATCACAGGCTAATTTTGCAGGAGGTGGTATGGATGGGGCCCTACAACCCATCTGGGATATTGAGTCCCTTCTTCCCTCACCACCTGGTGGCTTTCGATTTTGGATAGGTCACTTTGCCTTGCCGGGCCTCCGTGAACCTGTCTGTGATATGGAAATATTTGTACCAGCCTGACCTTGCCACGTGATGGCTCCACGATTTATTCAGTAAATGTTTATCCAGCATCTTCCGGGTGCCAGGTGTGGGCCTCAGCCCTGGGGTGGAGCTGTGGTCCCTGCCCTCCCGATTCCTGGCTCCGGGGCAGGGAAGTACGGTGTTGTGATACAGGCTCCTTGGGCACCAGCAGAGGATGTGCTGGGCAGGGAGAGGAAATGTTAGCCTTGTTGTGTGTGCGCATGGGCTTTTCTTTTTGTTTTGACCTTTTTATTGTGGTAAAAGCAAACACAACATAAAATTCACCATCTTTATTTTTAGTAGTCCTCTTCAGTTGTGTGAGGTATATTCTCATATGAAACAAGTGAAACAGGACTTTTTCATCTTCCAAAACTGAAACTCTATACCCATCAAACAACTCTCTTTTTCTTGGCCCCTGGTAACCACCATTCTACTGTCGGTCTCTATGAGTCTGACTACTCATTTCACTTAGTCTGTGTCCTTGGAGTCCATCTGTATTTTACATGTGTCAGAATTTTTTTCTCCTTTGAGGCTAAATAATACTGCACTGTATAAATCTATACTATGTTTTGTCAATGCATTCTCCCATGGACACTTGGGTTGCCTTCCCTTTTTGGTGATTGTGGCTAGTACTACAGTGCACATGGGTGTGTAAATACCTCTTTTGGTGCCAGGGATTGAACTCGGGACCTTGTGCTTGTGAGGCAGGCAGTGGAACCACTGAGCTAAATTCCCGGCCATGAACACTTCTTTTGATACCTTGCCTTCACATCTTTTGATATATACTCAGAAGAGGGATTGCTGGGTTGTAGGGTAGTTCTATTTTTAATTTTTTGAGGAACTCTAACCTGTTTTCTGTAGCAGTTGCACTATTTTACATTCCCACCAACAGTTGCAAGGGTTCCAGTCCTTAATCCTTGCTAACACTTGTTATTTTCTGGTTTCTTTTCCTCCTCACCACCTCCCTCCTTGCTCTCCTGCTCTCCTTCCTAGCAGCCATCCTGGTGGATGTGAAGTTGTGTCTCCTTGTGGTGTAGATTGGCATTTCCCTAATGGCCAGAGATGTAGAACACAGTTCCATATGCTCGTTTGGGTCTCATCTTTGCAGAAATGGCTATTTGAGTTCGTTATCCATTTTTAAATCAGATTATTTGATTTTTTTTGGTTGCTGAGTTCTTTATATCTGGATGTCCTCCTCAAAGCCTCATGAGTTCAAAGGTGAGGTCCTGTAACTGGATTATGGGGCTTGTAGCAGACTTGCATTTAGTGGTGATAATTTTTTTGGTACCGGGGATCGAACTCAGGACCTTGTGCTTGCCAGGCAGGCAGCGGAACCACTGAGCTAAATTCCCAGCCCTCTTTATATATTCTAAATATTAACCTCTTTTCAGAAACCTGCTCTGTATATCTTTTCTCGCATTGCAGAGGTGGCCTTTCCACTCTAGATTATGTCCTTTAATGAACATGTTTTTAAGTTTGATGTCACCCCACTTGACTGTTTTTACTTTTATTCATGGTTTTAGTGTCCTGTTGTATGTTTTTAATTGAAACGGAATTGACTGGGGATGTTGCTCAGTGGTGCTGCGCCTGCCTGGCAAGCGCAAGGTCCTGAGTTCAATCCCTGGTACAGGTGTTTGTGTGTGTGTGTGTGTGTGTGTGTGTGTGTGTGTGTGTGTGGTGGGGATGAGACCCTAACTGAAATGTAATTCACGTCCCATAAATTCACCTTTTAAGGTCTATAATTCAGTATGGTTGTTACTATGTTCACAAGGTTGCGCAGCCATTGTCTAGTTCCAGGATGCTTTTCATTACCCCAAATGGAAACCCTATATCCATTGAGCAGTCACTTCCCATTTCCCCCTTCTCCAAGCTCCTGGCAACCACCAAATGTTTTCTGTCCCTACAAATGTGCTCATGCTGAATAGTTCATATAAATGAAATCTGTATTGGCCAGGGTTTCCTACAGAAATAGAGCCAGTAGATGATATATGTATATCTTGGTCTGTAGCCAACAGCCCCAAAGCCAAGAGTGCTAATGTCTGAGGGCAGAAGATACAAAGTGTGATAAAAAAAATAGTGAATATTTAAAATTTAAAAATTATTACAGTAGAGGACACATTGTTATTACTCCTCAGAATACTCCCCCCCACTTTGAACACACTTCATTCTTTTTGTTTTCCAGTACCAAGGATTGAACTCAGGACCTTGCAACTTATCCCAACATTCTTGCCGCTTTCTGAAGCAGTTCTGGAAGCCCGCTTTCATGACTATTTTTAGCTGTGCTGTCATGGCTGTCTCAGTGTTTTGAAGTGATTCAAAACGTCGACCTTTTATGGTCATTCTGACTTTGGGGAAGAGCCTGAAGTTGCAGGGTGCCAGATCTAGTGAATAAGGTGGATGAGGACGCACTGTAATGTTTTCACAAGCCTGCCTTTCTATGGGATAACACTGGGCAACTGATTACACACACACACTCAGGGAAGTTATGACTTTGAGTTGGCAGAGGCCTCACAGGAACAGGTAAAAGATTCAGTTAAGGATCCAGCACCTTCATCTCATTGATACCCAGCTCCGCTCCCCATGTGGCTTCCTTTGCTCTCTCACCCATCTGGGCTGTGTTTGGCTGCCAGAGGCCAGAGCCCAAATGAGTAGGTCACCTTGAATCAGAGAATGCAGCCTCCGTTTCCCACCAAACTTTCCTGTGAGTCCATTCACCCAGGCAAAAGCCTGCCTGCCAACTCACAGATCTCTAACCCAAAGGCAACCAGCAGGCAGATAGAGTGATCCCCGGGAATCCTGCGGTGCTATGGAGGACCCAGGTCATTCCCAGACAGGCTTGCCTCAGTCCAGCCTGGTGTTAGCCCTTTGC